AGAATGTTGACTCAAAGTGTTTTGTCAAAGTTATGTGCAAAAAAAATTCCAGTTCTATAAAGGAATACCAGTCATAAAAGGAATAGCTAATGAAGAATACTAGTTCTAAAGGGAATTGTTATTGAAGTTTTTCTAGTTCTAGTTTGATTAGAAATAGCTTTGTTATTCACGAATCTGTTAGGAGTAGTTACTATAAATAGGGATTGTCCTTTATTGTAGAAATGAGGCATTCAACATTGATCTTGTGAGGTATGAGAGTCTTTGAGAATAGGATACTAAATTCCCCTAGAAAGTAGTACATGTGTTTAGGTTTCAATAGTTTGGTAGGAAAGATCATTCTATTGTGTAATCTCAGGTTCCAAACAGTGTACTTTAAATATTAAGCTTTTAGTGGATTTAGGCAAATTCTCAAATTGAGAAGTGCCTCGCAGATTAGGGTTGTTTGCCCAAACTGCGTTACAGATCGTTTGTGTTACAACGTCAGTTTCAACATCACTGTGTGCTGCGCTTATATATATATATTTCAGGGATTCCCCGTGGGACGGGGACGGGGAATTTTTTCTACTCCTTACCGGGGATGGGGACGGGGAGACGGGGAGTATAGTCCTCACCCTGCCCCGCCCCGTTGCCATCCCTAGGACCTTATTGATGTTTGGTTATGTATGACCCTATAAGGGGAATAAAGGTTTTAAAAATACAAAATTAAAACATTAAGGCAATTGATTCTAATATGATGACATCCAAAACACTAATATGAAAAAAAAAAAAAATCAAAACAAAAATCTAAAAGCATTAATCCAAACCTTTTTTTAGTATTATTGACTTTGTTACAATGTAGTATATGTCCATATATACTTTCTCAATATATTGAAGCACAGAGAGTCAATGTCTTACGGTTCATACTTGTGACCTCCCATTTAGAAATAAGGATTTTAATTGAATGGGTAATCAAATCTCATAGTTGTGTTTTAAAAAATTGTCAACTAAACACTAACTATGATTTTGATTCTCATTCCTGATATGTAAACCCATGAACTAAACACACCTTAGTTTTCAATAAAAAGTTGATGTAAATATTGAGGTAGATCACATCACATGTACAAAAAATAAAAAATAAACAATTAATCAATCATTATTATCTCAATGTTACAAATGTTGAATAAAAACAATCTTCAACCATTAAATAGATCTTTAGATTTTTTAAATCAATAATCCATGGAAAATATCATAGATCCACCAAACTATAATGTTATTGAAAAAAAAACCATAATCTAGAGTTAATTCATTTCATTTATAGGACCTTCCATAAAAGGAATTTCTATTCAAATGCATTTGGGGAAGTGTCCTCTAATTCGGAAAAATAGTACAATTAGGTTTTATTATTACATACTAGTTTTTTACGCACATTGCGCGATTGAGATAATGCCCAATATATTTTTTTAATAAGTACTTTAAAGTATATCAAAGCAAGATTATATTGAAATGGCTAATGCATGCATAGATAATTGAATGTTGAATTTGCGTATTTAAATAGATAATTCTAAGTTTACAAATGCAAGATAATATAGTCAAGATTAATTATAATTGTCAATAAAATAATTATATGGGTATGGTTGAAACCAAATACGGGACATAAGGGAGATCAGATAAAAATTAGGGCATAAAATATTAAATATATACTAATATTGTTTGCGGAGATTCTAGCAGTAGGATTTGTGGTAAGAGTTCTATTAAGACTTTAATATTAGAATTAGATTAATGGTGTAGTTATATATATTATAATTTTATATTAGGATTCAATATTAACGGCTAATCATATACTTAAGGATAAATTAGAAAATCTCAAGGAAAAAATGAAAATCTGAACAATCAGAAACATTCATTTGATTTAATACTTTGACGGTCATTGTTTTATTTTTTCTACCCAATGTTTATAATTAAATAGGTATTTGAAAGTATATCAATACAAGATTATATATGAGAAGTTCATACATAAGTAATTTAATGTTGAATTTGTTTATTTAAATATGTAACTCATAGTATATGAATACAATGTAATATATGAGATTCATTATAATTGTTACTAAACGTTTTTTAAATAGTAGCCAAGTATTTTTGTTGCAAAGGGTTCTAATATATTTTATGAATGCACATATATACAAGATCAATGAATGAATCAACGGTACAAGTCCTTTAGGTGTTTTGCTCAGTGTTCAATTAGTTCAACCATTATTGTTCAATAAATTATTATGGATAAAGAAATTCTTAATGTAAGGAATTTAGATGTAGTAAAAATTTAAAATTTTTAATTATAATGTAACCCAAAGATATTGAAATTTTTAAATTATAATGTAACCCAAAGATATTGGACGATTGGTAATATGATGTAACCCAAACATCGAAATGCTAAAAAAAGTGTATGGTTATTCAACAGTTTGAAGCAATGATTTGTTCCAAACCACTAAAAATACAAACATCGCAATTTACAATATTTTCACTTAGCGTTTTTTAGAATAATTTCCTCAAAACACCTCTATATTTATAAAATAAAAAATAAAAATTTACTGTAAAGCCATTTCGACTTATTGAATAATAAGAGCCAGTTTCGTTGGCTCACTGCTTGCCCATCAACGGATGGGCAAGCTTAATTTTGAAATTAGAGCCTTAGGGCTCCTTTTATAGGAGCCTCAAGCTCCCATGCCACTTTTCGCACTGATGTGAGAAAAGTGACAAAACTAAGGGGAGCCGAAAGTTCAGCTCCCAATATGTTTTATTTGTTTTATTTTATTTCTTTTATTAATTTATTATTATTATTATTATTATTATTATTATTATTATTATTATTTTAATTTTTTAAAACAATTATTATTATTATTATTATTATTATTATTATTATTATTATTATTATTATTATTATTATTATTATTATTATTATTATTATTATTATTATTATTATTATTATTATTATTATTATTATTATTATTATTATTATTATTATTATTATTATTATTATTATTATTATTATTATTATTATTATTATTATTATTATTATTACCCTTAGGTCATTTTACATGTTAATCTAAAAAGTTAATTTTTTCAAATATCTTTTTACCAATCGTTTATATAATTCGCTGGTCAAATCTGATAACATAATTCATTAACGCTAACCGCTAACTGCAATTCGCTGGTCAAATCTGATAACATAATTTATTAACGCTAACCGCTAACTGCTGATTGTCACTAACCGCTAACTGCTGATTGTCAAATAATGACATTGCGAGATAATTCTCACTTCAATTTGTTGTGTGATTTGAATACTCTCTTTGTCAACAAATCCCTCAAGTAGTTAATAAGTATGGTGTTTGCTACCCTGATTTGAGGTTAACTGGTCACAGCGATCAAGGGTATGTCTTGTCGTGGAGTCCATTTAAGCAGGTTCATTTGTTAAGAGGCTCAGAGGATGGTCAATTTTGCATGTGGGATGTTAATGCCACTCCAACGTTTAAGACACTTGAGGTCATGCATATATTTAGTGTATGTATCAGCATTAACTATATATATAAGCGCTAGTATGCCTTATGTGTTTTATCAAGTTCCTTTTACTTGCATAATCATTGTGTATTTCCCAATTTTGTGAGATATTTTTCATTAATGCATTTTAATAAACAATTAGTAAGATAACATAATATTGGAAATTTCCTCATCAGATAGTGTGAGTAATCCCCAACTTCATAACATTTAAGTTTCTCATATTGTTTTTAATGCAGATAAACAGTTCTTATGATGATGTTCTAATAGATTCATGATGGATGTGTTGGGCAAATTATGCCCTGGAAACGTGTTCACCATGAATGGTGAATACGGGTCCAAACGCTGCCGTTTTTACGGAAAAAAAAATTTCGCTAATGTGGTATTAACGGCGCGCGTTTGGTCAGCTTATGAATTTTCTATTATGAGATTATGAATGTACTGTAAATTCATAATCTCATAACAGAAAATTCATAATCGCATAAAAGAAAAACATTTATTAAATTATGAATTTTCTGTTATGAGATTATGAATTTACTGTAAATTCATAATCTCATAACAGAAAATTCATAATCTCATAACAAAAAATTCATAATCTCATAAAAAGAAAATTCATAATTTCATAACTGTACATTCATAAATCCATGCAATTATGAATGTGCAGGCATGGATATATAAATGTGCAGTTATGAAATTATGAATTTTCTTTTTATGAGATTATGTTGAAGAAGCTTGCGCGAAGAGGAAGTGAAACCGCAAAATGTGTAAGTGAAGAAGAAAAGTCACGCAATTAATTAAGGAAAAAAAAAGAAAAAAAAAGAGATAACGGTGTACTAACAACGTTGGAACCGTGTTCACCATGGATGGTGAACACGGTTCCATGGCATAAGAGGATGTAGCTTGGCATATGAAGTGATGGAATAATCATGGAGCGGGTCGGACCCGGCTTCCACGGACTACTCGCGACGCGTGGCGAACCGCCCCGGGGTTGGCCAACCACCCCGGGGTCGGCCCAGCGTGGGGTCGGCTCGGCGTCGAGCCGACCCCCACGAGCTCGGCCTCGGCCCCATGGGCTCGGCGGAGACCATGGTCAGCCCCTTGGCCGAGCTCCGTGCTTGGCCAAGGACCGGGTCCTCGCTTGGAGCGAGTCTCGCGGCGCGGGCCGCGGCTCCTCCCGCTGACCTAGGGCCCGTAGCGGCCGGGGTATATAAACACCCCCCAGTGTCCTAATCAATCATCTTCTACGTTTCCTACAACACTTGTATCATTATTACACGTCCTGAACCTCTGTAATAGCATTGTTCACTCTATTAATACAATATTTATCACTTTATTATTTGTTCGTCATATTCAATATTCTATACGGGTTGTATAATTCGGACCCCCGGATTCATATAATCCATCATTGGTGCTCTTGTTGAGAGCGGCTGTACAAGCTTAAGCGCTCTCCCTATTATCCTTCATCCGCAGCGATGACAAGATCCGGGTCGAACACCCACAACTCGCAGGGTTCACGCAACACACGTGACCTCTCCCTCACCAACCACCCCAACGGGACCACGACAAGTCGGCAGACCGTGCCCATAATGGCAGGAGGGGACCTCAGAGATCTGATCAATGGGAGTCGGCGGGGGACAGCGGAGGACCTCCGAGGGCGGCTCACCAACAATCGCCCGCTCAGCGGGACGGCGCCACCCGTCCCACCACCAATCCTGACTCCCCAAGAGGAGGCCGCCGCACTCGAGCAGGCGGCGACCGCGCTCAACCGCGTCACGGCGGGGGTGCGACGTGGTGCCCTGACACTTCCACCTCCACCTCCACCTCCAACTCCACCTCCGCCCCCTCCGAGGGTGCGCAGTGGCCCCAGCACTCACGCGCCCCGGGCACCCGCAACGTTGGTCGATGGGGAAGTCAACTCACCGCGACCATCTGAGAGACGAGACGGAGCGGAGGCCAGCCGAGGCCGGCACGAGCAACGGGAGGAGAGGTGGACTCGGCCAACCCGAACCACATTCGCGCTCGGGTGGTTGGGCCCGGGGGTGCTGGCACAAGACCGCCTAGGGCCGAGGTCGGCCACCAACACCAGACAGGCGGAGTCGTAGTGTTCACGGAGGTCCCGGAGCCATGAACCTCGTGTTCCGGGGCCACGGGAGCCGACCCCACCAGTGGAGCGCTCGTGGGAGACAAGAGGCCGACCTCAGAGCGCCCAGCGCGACGAGATGGAACAATTGCGCAGGCATATGCGCGAGTTGCAGCGATTCGAGCAAAATCTTCCGCTGTAAGCCTGTAACAATAATTTCATTTCCGTTCACATTCGCCTTCACAGTCTCATCGATTGGTTGGCCGGTGGCATAAAACTCAGCCACAGTTTTTTGAGAGTACGCATCTAGGGGTTTTGTTAGATAGTCGTACAAGCCGATAATTTTTAAGCATTCGACGGTCTCCTTACCAATTTCTTTGTCTTCTGCATTGGCTACCAAAGCACCGAAATCCGCTAATTTCCCGTGTTTATTCTTGCCAATCATAAGCTCGGTAACAATGACACTTGGAATCGCTTATGAAAATGAAAAGCACGACCTTATGAAAACTGTGATTCCAAAAATAATGTTTAATAGGTTTTGAACATTTTCCGGAGAAAGAAAAATATTACTCGGCCGAACTTTGTTGTCGTGATTGACACGCGAGCATTAAATGCGGCTCATACCACATCGGTATCATCGATTCCGCCAGCGCCTCGGTTAATGATTTCAACTCTTGTCAATATTATAGTTATATCATGAACAAATTTAACCAAACCTGTAATAGGTCTTCAATTATATACGTAACTCATTCTGTTTTTTCCCAAATCTCATCTGTTATACCACATTATTTTATTATACCGTATTCTATTATATGTTATTATGTTATTAATTATTATAAAGACTTATTTAAACCATGTATAATATGTGAATATGTTAGCTGATTTCAGCTACATTTTATTGTGTCTTAAATTTAAATTGTATCACAACTTCTTCTTGGAAGAATTATTTACGAATTTTGTTACAACAATAAGAACAATCCAATTGTTCACTAATCGTGACAACTCAAAGAAAACATTCTCCAGTACACTGCACCTTGCGCTTATCCGTTAAATTATATTTATAGTGCCACATATTTTCATACAAAAAAAAAAAAAAAAACAAGTCCGCATTTTTAATGAGCAAAAACCACTGCTTCGCTTGTACATCAATAGTGAGCGGCCAAAATATACATACCGATATGATTAAAAAGTCGTATCACACAAAACCATACCTGTCCTTTACATTTCCATGTTGTTTTCCGTACTGGTATTCATACAGGTAATTGTTTTTTCCGTCGAGTTTAAAATTTCAGCTTTGTCTGCGAGTAAATTCTGTAATGACAATAAACCTCGCCGATTAAGAAAACAACAGAGTAACTATATACCAATTCATTTATATCAACAGCTAAATTAAGAAAACAACAGTGTACCAATCTAAAGTTACTGCCAAGCGTACAAGTCGAATCAGTCGGTGATTGATCCAGACGAAGCAGACGCGAACGATCTTCAACCTGTCCAATTTGCCGGTACGATACATGTGTTTTCTCCTTCCTCCACTTGTGGCACCATTTGTTCCGGCCTGCTTTGTTGTCCGTTACACATTAGTGACTGCATGTCCCGGTTATTGTGACCAACAACATTGCCTTTACCGGTTTGGATCGCATCCGCCTTTTGATTCGTTCTTTCCAATAGTCCAAGAGCATAGTCAGCTCGCCGTCTCTTTTCAATAAGTGATGTTCTTTGCTTTTTGTCCCTAAAAAGGAACTGGGTTTTGGTCAATCTGAAGTCTTTTTTGACAAAGTCCAAATCCTGACACTCTAGCATATAAGAAATCATGATCCCAAAACTACAAACTTTTGCACGCTTCTGTCGTTGCAGATTGTGAATTATTTCAATCATTCTATTCAGAATATGCCCGACCAAATTTGCCTTCTCTTTTCGAAGAATAACTTCCATAGCTCTTGCTTTCTTATAAGTTAATCCGTCCACATTTCCTGTCCTGCCTTTAACGCAAAGAGTGACTATCGCAAATAAAGCCTGCATGTCTAGTTTCAAAACTTTTTTCTTTGCTTGCAAATCATATGCATAACCCGGTCGAGCTATTTTAGACCACAACATATTACCATCTACTGGATGACACTCCAAATCCGCGTAGCCTTTGCCGGGCAAACCGATCCGACACAAACCGGTCGCTGTCACAGTCGTCATTTTCCCATCCACAACTTCTTTAATCTTACCTCCAATCGTACTTGTTGTCTCGTAAAAATGTCTCACTGTTGACTGCGAAAACCCGTCTATTGATTTGCTCAGATAAACGTAAAGTCCTGTCACTTGGAGACACTCGATCACTTCCTTAGTGACTTCGGGTTTCATTGCTTGATTCTCGTATGCAATGAAGTCAACTAACTTACCAGGTAGTACCTTGAATTTAGAACTACCATCGATGATATTGGCAAGGAAAAAAGATGATGAATAGTACTGCCGGGTTTTCTTCTTCCCTTGCCGTTCCGAAAGCTGCCCGTTTGGGATAACCGATGAAATGACATAAGCACGAACTCCTCTTATTGACATAACCGGGAAGGAAAACATTATCTTCTCCGCATTTTAAAATGACTATTGATAGACGTGCATTAAATGCGGTCCATACCTCACCTAAACACCATGCTGAACTGAGCCATTTGTTTCAGTCCGTATTTCATATTAAAAAAAAAACACACCATTTCTTGGATAACCTTACTTTTACATATATTACATATCTCTTTGGAATGCTGTTATAGTTAAATAATCTGTACAATTTTTTTTACATCACGATAACAACATTTGTAATGCGTCTATTGTTATGTCACCCCTATGTAGTCCAAACTTGTGATATACTTTTTAATAGCAATCTTGTGTAGTTATGTGCCATCAAAATTGCAGAATATTGACACAAATATATGGCACCGAAAACGTATTGCGAACCACGCGTATACTTTTGTTTTCTTTTCATAACCTATCATCGCCGCACACTTCAGTTTCAACTTGTTAGACAAACGCTTTCATTTGTTTTTTTGCAATTTTAACAACAACCAAGTTATTTGTTATACGTAAATTAATATTACGTCTCCACATGATCTTGAATTTTTCCGCACTTAGTTTATCCAAAACAAAATCCAACCTCACTTTTCTTCTCTATTACAGTATTACATATTAGCTACACATATGACACATACCTACATAACATTTCATGGATAGATTCATTTTAAATTGCTCTTACTCAAATATTTCAACATACATTACTTTCTAATCAATGAACCATACAGTAGATCAATAACTATTACTGTCAACGTACAGTTCAAAATTTTTTGTTTCTGCCATTTATTACTGTCATGCTTATTCATTCTTCCGTAATGCCTAACTATGGAAAACAACAATTTGTCTAAAGTTTTTGTTTTTGAAAATTATTACTGTCATTCTTATTTACGTTTAGATGAACACATTTATACTATGCATTCATATGTATTTCTAATCGAAAACAAATAAATTATACAACTATTGGGCATCAGTTATAATCATTCCGCAACGCGCGCATCTCGGCTAGTTTATACATACATGATGGTTTGACTTTTAGTATCGACTAATAAGATAATATTTGGTGGCATAAAAAGGTGGATATCGATTTAAGGAGAGCAGTAGTAATCCGAGGGTGTGGACTGAGGTACTAATGCCCTCCATCCCATTTTGTAGGAGCAATGTTCTTTTAAAAAGTGCATCATAGATTAACCAATTATTTGTATCCACCAACTAGAAAATATCACATCATGAACCACTTTATTTATACATACATAATGGTTTCATTTTTAGCGTCAACTAATAAGAAGGGGCTAGGTGGCATAGCAAGATGAGTATTAATTTGAAGAGAGCAGTAGTAACCTGAGAGTGTGGACTAGGTTACTATTGCTCTCCATCATATTTTACAAGGAGCAATGTTCTTTTAGAATGTGCACCACAAATTAACAAATTATCTGTATCCATTAATTAGGGCACATCATGTGACACCCCGAAATCCACATTCAATTAATGGATTAATTGAGTAATTAATACTATTTCAATTGGTGAATTAATTCCTAAAATCCTGAAAATTCAATACTTGGGGACTAGTAATTGACTAGTCAACCCCAAAGTCTAAGTTGTATATTGAGCTTTGTAAGGAGTTCCCTTGTTCCTTACACTTCCTTATGCTAGTAAAGGTATTCTTGACCTTTCACTTGTTGTTGGTAATGTAACCTAACCAAGTAGACCACCTTCATTCTCTCCTTACAGTTTTCTAAAAATCTAGCTCCACCCTCTCTCTAAAAGGTGAGTAGCTTTTCTTCCAAGCCAAGTTGGAACCTTGCCAAAACTTCAAGAGTTGCTTCCAAGATTCAACCTTTCTTATATTTGGGCATCTAGGAGTGTAAGATCTAAGTTCATCTTGTGTTTTTGGTTTTATCTAAGGTGTCTTTTCTTAAAGATAGGATCTTTATGATCTTTTGGTATGTTCTTGAAGTGGGTTTGGAAGGTGAGCCTAGTGAGGAGCTTGTTGAGGTGTAAAGTGAAGTCTTTAGTCTACAAGAGGTAACCCATGCTCTACAAAATCTATTTTGCTTACCTATATGAATATTTCTTGGATTCTAAATGCGTTTTGCTATGAAATGTGAGTGTTTATGCATTGTCTTGTGAAAATTCTAGAGCTTGTATTTAGGGTTCTTGTATGCCATTACTTGGCTATTCCTTTGATTCAAGTCATTTTGTTGTATTTGGTGAGATTTGGCATGTTTTGGACTTGAATTTGAGTTTGGAGGTGAAAATCCGCGAAGTGTATTATTGTGCTACAGGGATGTACCCGTGGGCGGAACGGCGGGTAGGCGTCCAACCCGCCGCCCACCCGTGGGGTACATTGGTCAGGCAGCATGTACCCGCGGGCGGAACCGCGGGTAGAGGCCTACCCGTGGGCCTACCCGCGGCTACGTATTGTGATGTTGATGGGGATTTGTTCCCCGTGATTCTTTTGACTCGGTAATT